CCCCCCCCCCCCCCCCCCCCCCCCCCCCCCCCCCCCCCCCCCCCCCCCCCCCCCCCCCCCCCCCCCCCCCCCCCCCCCCCCCCCCCCCCCCCCCCCCCCCCCCCCCCCCCCCCCCCCCCCCCCCCCCCCCCCCCCCCCCCCCCCCCCCCCCCCCCCCCCCCCCCCCCCCCCCCCCCCCCCCCCCCCCCCCCCCCCCCCCCCCCCCCCCCCCCCCCCCCCCCCCCCCCCCCCCCCCCCCCCCCCCCCCCCCCCCCCCCCCCCCCCCCCCCCCCCCCCCCCCCCCCCCCCCCCCCCCCCCCCCCCCCCCCCCCCCCCCCCCCCCCCCCCCCCCCCCCCCCCCCCCCCCCCCCCCCCCCCCCCCCCCCCCCCCCCCCCCCCCCCCCCCCCCCCCCCCCCCCCCCCCCCCCCCCCCCCCCCCCCCCCCCCCCCCCCCCCACCATGGTCACCACAACCCACCATGGTCACCACAACCCACCATGGTCACCACAACCCACCATGGTCACCACAACCCACCATGGTCACCACTACTCACCATGGTCACCACTACTCACCATGGTCACCACAACCCACCATGGTCACCACTACTCACCATGGTCACCACTACTCACCATGGTCACCACAACCCACCATGGTCACCACTACTCACCATGGTCACCACAACCCACCATGGTCACCACAACCCACCATGGTCACCACAACCCACCATGGTCACCACAACGTACAATGGTCACCACAACCCACCATGGTCACCACTACTCACCATGGTCACCACTACTCACCATGGTCACCACAACCCACCATGGTCACCACTATTCACCATGGTCACCACTACTCACCATGGTCACCACAACCCACCATGGTCACCACAACCCACCATGGTCACCACAACCCACCATGGTCACCACAACCCACCATGGTCACCACTACTCACCATGGTCACCACAACCCACCATGGTCACCACCACCCACCATGGTCACCACAACCCACCATGGTCACCACAACCCACCATGGTCACCACTACTCACCATGGTCACCACTACCCACCATGGTCACCACTATTCACCATGGTCACCACTACTCTACCTCACCATGGTCACCACAACCCACCATGGTCACCACAACCCACCATGGTCACCACAACCCACCATGGTCACCATAACCCACCATGGTCACCACAACCCACCATGGTCACCACTACTCACCATGGTCACCACAACCGACCATGGTCACCACAACCCACCATAGTCACCACAACCCACCATGGTCACCACAACCCACTATGGTCACCACAACCCACCATGGTCACCACAACCCACCATGTTCACCACAACCCACCATGGTCACCACCACCCACCATGGTCACCACCACCCACCATGGTCACCACAACCCACCATGGTCACCACTACTCACCATGGTCACCACAACCCACCATGGTCACCACTACTCACCATGGTCACCACAACCCACCATGGTCAACACAACCCACCATGGTCACCACTATTCACCATGGTCACCACAACCCACCATGGTCACCACAACCCACCATGGTCACCACTACTCACCATGGTCACCACTACTCACCATGGTCACCACAACCCACCATGGTCACCACTACTCACCATGGTCACCACTACCCACCATGGTCACCACAACCCACCATGGTCACCACAACCCACCATGGTCACCACTACTCACCATGGTCACCACAACCCACCATGGTCACCACAACCCACAATGGTCACCACAACCCACCATGGTCACCACAACCCACCATGGTCACCACAACCCACCATGGTCACCACTACCCACCATGGTCACCACAACCCACCATGGTCACCACTTCTCACCATGGTCACCACTACTCACCATGGTCACCACAACCCACCATGGTCACCACTACTCACCATGGTCACCACAACCCACCATGGTCACCACCACCCGCCATGGTCACCACAACCCACCATGGTCACCACTACTCACCATGGTCACCACAACCCACCATGGTCACCACTACTCACCATGGTCACCACAACCCACCATGGTCACCACAACCCACCATGGTCACCACTACTCACCATGGTCACCACAACCCACCATGGTCACCACTACTCACCATGGTCACCACAACCCACAATGGTCACCACAACCCACCATGGTCACCACAACCCACCATGGTCACCACTACTCACCATGGTCACCACAACCCACCATGGTCACCACAACCCACCATGGTCACCACTACTCACCATGGTCACCACAACCCACCATGGTCACCACTAACCATGGTCACCACAACCCACCATGGTCACCACTACTCACCATGGTCACCACAACCCACCATGGTCACCACAACCCACCATGGTCACCACTATTCACCATGGTCACCACTACTCACCATGGTCACCACAACCCACCATGGTCACCACAACCCACCATGGTCACCACAACCCACCATGGTCACCACAACCCACCATGGTCACCACTACTCACCATGGTCACCACAACCCACCATGGTCACCACCACCCACCATTGTCACCACAACCCACCATTGTCACCACAACCCACCATGGTCACCACAACCCACCATGGTCACCACTACTCACCATGGTCACCACTACTCACCATGGTCACCACTACTCACCATGGTCACCACTATTCACCATGGTCACCACTACTCACCATGGTCACCACAACCCACCATGGTCACCACAACCCACCATGGTCACCACAACCCACCATGGTCACCATAACCCACCATGGTCACCACAACCCACCATGGTCACCACTACTCACCATGGTCACCACAACCGACCATGGTCACCACAACCCACCATGGTCACCACAACCCACCATGGTCACCACAACCCACCATGGTCACCACAACCCACCATGGTCACCACAACCCACCATGTTCACCACAACCCACCATGGTCACCACCACCCACCATGGTCACCACCACCCACCATGGTCACCACAACCCACCATGGTCACCACTACTCACCATGGTCACCACAACCCACCATGGTCACCACTACTCACCATGGTCACCACAACCCACCATGGTCACCACAACCCACCATGGTCACCACTATTCACCATGGTCACCACAACCCACCATGGTCACCACAACCCACCATGGTCACCACTACTCACCATGGTCACCACTACTCACCATGGTCACCACAACCCACCATGGTCATCACTACTCACCATGGTCACCACTACCCACCATGGTCACCACAACCCACCATGGTCACCACAACCCACCATGGTCACCACAACCCACCATGGTCACCACTACTCACCATGGTCACCACAACCCACCATGGTCACCACAACCCACAATGGTCACCACAACCCACCATGGTCACCACAACCCACCATGGTCACCACAACCCACCATGGTCACCACTACCCACCATGGTCACCACAACCCACCATGGTCACCACTACTCACCATGGTCACCACTACTCACCATGGTCACCACAACCCACCATGGTCACCACTACTCACCATGGTCACCACAACCCACCATGGTCACCACCACCCACCATGGTCACCACAACCCACCATGGTCACCACTACTCACCATGGTCACCACAACCCACCATGGTCACCACTACTCACCATGGTAACCACAACCCACCATGGTCACCACAACCCACCATGGTCACCACTACTCACCATGGTCACCACAACCCACCATGGTCACCACTACTCACCATGGTCACCACAACCCACAATGGTCACCACAACCCACCATGGTCACCACAACCCACCATGGTCACCACAACCCACCATATTCACCACAACCCACCATGGTCACCACAACCCACCATGGTCACCACTACTCACCATGGTCACCACAACCCACCATGGTCACCACTACTCACCATGGTCACCACAACCCACCATGGTCACCACTACACACCATGGTCACCACAACCCACCATGGTCACCACTACTCACCATGGTCACCACAACCCACCATGGTCACCACTACTCACCATGGTCACCACAACCCACCATGGTCACCACCACCCACCATGGTCACCACAACCCACCATGGTCACCACTACTCACCATGGTCACCACTACTCACCATGGTCACCACAACCCACCATGGACACCACAACCCACCATGGACACCACTACTCACCATGGTCACCACAACTCACCATGGTCACCACAACTCACCATGGTCACCACAACCAACCATGGTCACCACAATCCACCATGGTCACCACAACCCACCATGGTCACCACTACTCACCATGGTCACCACTACTCACCATGGTCACCACTACTCACCATGGTCACCACTACTCACCATGGTCACCGTAACCCAGTATGGTCACCACTACTCACCATGGTCACCACTACTCACCATGGTCACCACTACTCACCATGGTCACCACAACCCACCATGGTCACCACAACCCACCATGGTCACCACAACCCACCATGGTCACCATAACCCACCATGGTCACCATAACCCACCATGGTCACCACAACCCACCATGGTCACCACAACCCACCATGGTCACCGCAACCCACCATGGTCACCATAACCCACCATGGTCACCACTACTTACCATGGTCACCATAACCCACCATGGTCACCACTACTCACCATGGTCACCACAACCCACCATGGTCACCACAACCCACCATGGTCACCATAACCCACCATGGTCACCAAAACTTACCATGGTCACAACAACCCACCATGGTCACCACTACTCACCATGGTCACCACAACCCACCATGGTCACCACTACTCACCATGGTCACCACTACTCACCATGGTCACCACAACCCACCATGGTCACCACTACTCACCATGGTCACCACAACCCACCATGGTCACCACTACTCACCATGGTCACCACAACCCACCATGGTCACCACTACTCACCATGGTCACCACTACTCACTATGGTCACCACAACCCACCATGGTCACCACTACTCACCATGGTCACCACTACTCACTTGGGTCTGCTTGGCCCGCTCAGAGCCGGCCAGGTCCACCATGAAGAGCCGTCCAGACTTGATCTCCTCCCCGGCGCCCTTCAGGTCCGATCTCCGCACGTTCACCTGCAACAGTTTACACCAGACGTTACTGACGTTCACCACAACAGTTTACACCTGACGTTACTGACGTTCACCTGCAACAGTTTACACCTCACGTTACTGACGTTCACCTGCAACAGTTTACACCAGACGTTACTGACGTTCACCTGCAACAGTTTACACCTGACGTTACTGACGTTCACCTGCAACAGTTTACACCTCACGTTACTGACGTTCACCTGCAACAGTTTACACCTCACGTTACTGACGTTCACCTGCAACAGTTTACACCAGACGTTACTGACCTTCACCACAACAGTTTACACCTCACGTCACACACTCCCACCGTCACGGACTGCAGGAGTGTATAACTTAACACACATTTATTAAAATAAATTAACTCTAATACACGGTTCGTTAACAGACAGTTCCACGTGGTCGTTACGTTAACAGACAGTTCCACGTGGTCGTTACGTTAACAGACAGTTCCACGTGGTCGTTACGTTAACAGACAGTTCGACATGGTCGTTACATTAACAGACAGTTCCACATGGTCGTTACGTTAACAGAGTTCCACGTGGTCGTTACGCTAACAGAGTTCCACGTGGTCGTTACGTTAACAGACAGTTCCACGTGGTCGTTACGTTAACAGACAGTTCCACATGATCGTTACGTTAACAGACAGCTCCACATGGTCGTTACGTTAACAGACAGTTCCACGTGGTCGTTACGTTAACAGAGTTCCATGTGGTCGTTACGTTAACAGAGTTCCACGTGGTCGTTACGTTAACAGAGTTCCACGTGGTCGTTACGTTAACAGACAGTTCCACGTGGTCGTTACGTTAACAGAGTTCCACGTGGTCGTTACGTTAACAGACAGTTCAACATGGTCGTTACGTTAACAGACAGTTCAACATGGTCGTTACGTTAACAGACAGTTCCACGTGGTCGTTACGTTAACAGAGTTCCACGTGGTCGTTACGTTAACAGAGTTCCACGTGGTCGTTACGTTAACAGACAGTTCCACGTGGTCGTTACGTTAACAGACAGTTCCACATGGTCGTTACGTTAACAGACAGTTCCACATGGTCGTTACGTTAACAGACAGTTCCATAGGGTCGTTACGTTAACAGACAGTTCCACATGGTCGTTACGTTAACAGACAGTTCACGTTGTCGTTTATTAAGAGACTGTTCCACTATTCGTATCTAAGCAATAGAGAACTTGCCTCTCTTCTCCAGCCAAGCACAGTGATCGAACTGAAACTCTCGCTGCCAAGTCATGTGGGAATAATAGGAAATGACATTGCAGACGAAGCTGCAAAACTTGCAACTAAGCGAAGAAATGTAGACATTTACATATACAGAGTCTATCACAGATTAAGAAAGTAATTAGAAATAGAGCAATGCTGATTATGTACAGTGACCACAACACAGCAGTTTCAATATCAGGATCTGCGGGTTGGTACAAGAATTCAACGAACTACGGACCACTTATTTTGATGAAAGGGAGCAGTGGAACAACAGAAGTACACTTACATCGTATCAGGCTTGGATACCCATATGCATGGGAAATAGGCTTACAGGGTCCAAAGGATGAGAGGAAATGTCAGCACTGTGGAGAAATGTCCGACAGACCACTGGAACATTATCTAACACAGTGCACAGTGTCTGGGTAGTGTCTGGGGCAGGAGGACCATGGTAGTGTCTGGGGCAGGAGGACCATGGTAGTGTCTGGGGCAGGTGAACCATGGTAGTGTCTGGGGCAGGTAGACCATGGTAGTGTCTGGGGCAGGTGGACCATGGTAGTGTCTGGGGCAGGTGAACCATGGTAGTGTCTGGGGCAGGTAGACCATGGTAGTGTCTGGGGCAGGTGGACCATGGTAGTGTCTGGGGCAGGTGGACCATGGTAGTGTCTGGGGCAGGTGGACCATGGTAGTGTCTGGGGCAGGTGAACCATGGTAGTGTCTGGGGCAGGTGAACCATGGTAGTGTCTGGGGCAGGTGGACCATGGTAGTGTCTGGGGCAGGTGGACCATGGTAGTGTCTGGGGCAGGTGAACCATGGTAGTGTCTGGGGCAGGTGAACCATGGTAGTGTCTGGGGCAGGTGGACCATGGTAGTGTCTGGGGCAGGTGGACCATAGTAGTGTCTGGGGCAGGAGGACCATGGTAGTGTCTGGGGCAGGTGGACCATGGTAGTGTCTGGGGCAGGTGAACCATGGTAGTGTCTGGGGCAGGTGGACCTTGGTAGTGTCTGGGGCAGGTGGACCATGGTAGTGTCTGGGGCAGGTAGACCATGGTAGTGTCTGGGGCAGGTAGACCATGGTAGTGTCTGGGGCAGGAGGACCATGGTAGTGTCTGGGGCAGGTGGACCATGGTAGTGTCTGGGGCAGGTAGACCATGGTAGTGTCTGGGGCAGGTAGACCATGGTAGTTTCTGGGGCAGGAGGACCATGGTAGTGTCTGGGGCAGGTGGACCATGGTAGTGTCTGGGGCAGGTGGAACATGGTAGTGTCTGGGGCAGGTGGAACATGGTAGTGTCGGGGGCAGGTGGAACATGGTAGTGTCTGGGGCAGGTGGAACATGGTAGTGTCTGGGGCAGGTGGACCATGGTAGTGTCTGGGGCAGGTAGACCATGGTAGTGTCTGGGGCAGGAGGACCATGGTAGTGTCTGGGGCAGGTGGACCATGGTAGTGTCTGGGGCAGGTGAACCATGGTAGTGTCTGGGGCAGGTGAACCATGGTAGTGTCTGGGGCAGGTGGACCATGGTAGTGTCTGGGGCAGGTGAACCATGGTAGTGTCTGGGGCAGGTGAACCATGGTAGTGTCTGGGGCAGGTGGACCATGGTAGTGTCTGGGGCAGGTGGACCATAGTAGTGTCTGGGGCAGGAGGACCATGGTAGTGTCTGGGGCAGGTGGACCATGGTAGTGTCTGGGGCAGGTGAACCATGGTAGTGTCTGGGGCAGGTGGACCTTGGTAGTGTCTGGGGCAGGTGGACCATGGTAGTGTCTGGGGCAGGTAGACCATGGTAGTGTCTGGGGCAGGTAGACCATGGTAGTGTCTGGGGCAGGAGGACCATGGTAGTGTCTGGGGCAGGTGGACCATGGTAGTGTCTGGGGCAGGTAGACCATGGTAGTGTCTGGGGCAGGTAGACCATGGTAGTTTCTGGGGCAGGAGGACCATGGTAGTGTCTGGGGCAGGTGGACCATGGTAGTGTCTGGGGCAGGTGGAACATGGTAGTGTCTGGGGCAGGTGGAACATGGTAGTGTCTGGGGCAGGTGGAACATGGTAGTGTCTGGGGCAGGTGGAACATGGTAGTGTCTGGGGCAGGTGGACCATGGTAGTGTCTGGGGCAGGTAGACCATGGTAGTGTCTGGGGCAGGAGGACCATGGTAGTGTCTGGGGCAGGTGGACCATGGTAGTGTCTGGGGCAGGTGAACCATGGTAGTGTCTGGGGCAGGTGAACCATGGTAGTGTCTGGGGCAGGTGGACCATGGTAGTGTCTGGGGCAGGTGAACCATGGTAGTGTCTGGTAGTGTCTGGGGCAGGTGAACCATGGTAGTGTCTGGGGCAGGTGGACCATGGTAGTGTCTGGGGCAGGTGGACCATAGTAGTGTCTGGGGCAGGAGGACCATGGTAGTGTCTGGGGCAGGTGGACCATGGTAGTGTCTGGGGCAGGTGAACCATGGTAGTGTCTGGGGCAGGTGGACCATGGTAGTGTCTGGGGCAGGTGGACCATGGTAGTGTCTGGGGCAGGTAGACCATGGTAGTGTCTGGGGCAGGTAGACCATGGTAGTGTCTGGGGCAGGAGGACCATGGTAGTGTCTGGGGCAGGTGGACCATGGTAGTGTCTGGGGCAGGTAGACCATGGTAGTGTCTGGGGCAGGTAGACCATGGTAGTTTCTGGGGCAGGAGGACCATGGTAGTGTCTGGGGCAGGTGGACCATGGTAGTGTCTGGGGCAGGTGGAACATGGTAGTGTCTGGGGCAGGTGGAACATGGTAGTGTCTGGGGTAGGTGGACCATGGTAGTGTCTGGGGCAGGTGGACCATGGTAGTGTCTGGGGCAGGTGGACCATGGTAGTGTCTGGGGAAGGTGGACCATGGTAGTATCTGGGGCAGGTGGACCATGGTAGTGTCTGGGGCAGGTGAACCATGGTAGTGTCTGGGGCAGGTGAACCATGGTAGTGTCTGGGGCAGGTAGACCATGGTAGTGTCTGGGGCAGGTGGACCATGGTAGTGTCTGGGGCAGGTGAACCATGGTAGTGTCTGGGGCAGGTGAACCATGGTAGTGTCTGGGGCAGGTGAACCATGGTAGTGTCTGGGGCAGGTGGAACATGGTAGTGTCTGGGGCAGGTAGACCATGGTAGTGTCTGGGTCAAGTGGAACAGGTAGTGTCTGGGGCAGGTGGACCATGGTAGTGTCTGGGACAGGTAGACCATGGTAGTGTCTGGGGCAGGTGAACCATGGTAGTGTCTGGGGCAGGTGAACCATGGTAGTGTCTGGGGCAGGTGAACCATGGTAGTGTCTGGAGCAGGTGGACCATGGTAGTGTCTGGGGCAGGTGGACCATGGTAGTGTCTGGGGCAGGTGGACCATGGTAGTGTCTGGGGCAGGTAGACCATGGTAGTGTCTGGGGCAGGTGAACCATGGTAGTGTCTGGGGCAGGTGAACCATGGTAGTGTCTGGGGCAGGTGAACTATGGTAGTGTCTGGGGCAGGTAGACCATGGTAGTGTCTGGGGCAGGTGAACCATGGTAGTGTCTGGGGCAGGTGGACCATGGTAGTGTCTGGGGCAGGTGGACCATGGTAGTGTCTGGGACAGGTGAACCATGGTAGTGTCTGGGGCAGGTGGACCATGGTAGTGTCTGGGGCAGGTGGACCATGGTAGTGTCTGGGGCAGGTGGACCATGGTAGTGTTTGGGGCAGGTGAACCATGGTAGTGTCTGGGGCAGGTGGACCATGGTAGTGTCTGGTGCAGGTGAACCATGGTAGTGTCTGGGGCAGGTGGACCATGGTAGTGTCTG